CAAGGCTACCCTTTTCCGAAAGCTCCGCAGGACCACTTACCACTAGTCTTCGGCCGGAGGGGTTTATTGCACAAAAACGCCGGGGCGCAGGCTCCCGAAGAGAGAAGCCCAACGAATGTCAGATGCAAAGCCCCGCACCTCATTAAGATCATATTGGCATACTCTCCCAAAAAAGAAAGAGCAGACCCCATTGAAGACGAGAGTGAGGTACAACAAGGCCATTTCTGTCCACCGCCCTTCTCACGGAGCCGTACGTGGACGTTACCGCTCATACAGCTCCCAGCCAGCAAGCAGTTAGCCTTCCTCTACAAGGAATGGAAGTGTGGATGAATCGACATCAAATATAGGATTGTTGTTGTACACGATCTCCATTTTAGTAGTACTAGCTATCCACTCCACTATGTGGTGGAGTGTTCGTCCAGACCCCGTCGCAGGGGTACCTTCCCTTTTAATTGAGAGAAGGACTCGAAATTGACTCCCCTCGATTCGAGATCCTAAAGAAGGGTATGGAGTTTCTCCAAGGAATGCTCTCCCGTGGCGGTACGCGGATTCTCGAGGACCCGCTCCACCTCCCATCCAATCACCCTACTACAAAGTAAGGCGAGGGATCGACGCCCCACAGAGAACCCAACCTTTTCAAGTAGGCCTAAAAGAAATAAATCAAACCAATTTTCAGACAAAGAAGATAAAAAAAGAAAAGTATAGTGGCTAGGAAAGCTCCGGAGATTCTATGGGAAATTGAAAACGTCGAAGTAAGCTGTGGCTTATAAATAGGAAGATGAGGAGATAAGGGGTGAGGGATATTCATGATATTCGGAAAGATTTATGTTCATTCGCTCTGCTCGCAGAGCGGTATACCGAAAAAAAGAAGCGACTACCTTACTTAAGCAATTCTTCTTATTCTTATTCTTTCTTAGTTGAAGTTCCTATATTGGTTTTTTCTTTCTTTTATGAATGTTATAACTCCAAATTCTTTGGTAGCGGACCTCTTTGATAGTTCGACCGTTATCCCCCGTCTAACTCAACTATTCGACTGTACGGCTATTGTGATTGCGAGAGAAAGGAGGGATGGAGCCTTCCTTTACCATCTAGCGGTTGAAAACAAAAGTTCTTCCAGGTACACGGCTGTTAGGCTCATCCAAGGCGAATTTACGGAAGTAGCAGGGAACTTGACCGTCAAGTTTGAAAAAAGCTGGCCAAGCCTGTGTCACTTTCTTACGTCAGGAGAAAGGGAGATCAAAGAAGTATGGGGCCGATACATGAAGGATCAAATCATAGAGATAGCGGATCTTAAGAGGCGGAAGAAAAGGAACCTCGGCGACCCAGAGATCGCGGAGTCCGCGCCCGTGCCGAAAGTGAAGAAGCTTTACTCTCCTTTCAGTCGAGCATGCCCGCCCTTTAGCACTTCCCTTCCCTTACTCTAGGGCTTTTCTTCTCTTCTTCTCTAAGGGCAGTGAATGCCATCTGATATAAGGCTTTCTCCTATAATCTGTCTCTCGATAAGAAGCTTTCTTTTGATCCTGGTTAATCTTGTCTTCTTGAAGAATTATGGATTCCTAAACCTAGTAAGGGAAAGCGATTCTACTCCAATTGCATTCATCAGTCGGATGAGAGTGAGAATAGAAAGGAAGCCGGGAGGAAGAATGGAGTATAGCATTACCTCTAGAGTACAACCCGGAGCCTTCTTTTCGTAAACCCTACTCCTGCGCCCCTCAATCCCATATCTACTACTTAGTCAAGCCCTTAACTACTTCTATATCTTAGAACAACCCTGCTCTCTGATCGACGTTTTATAGTCTGCATATCTATGGAAAGAGGAAGCTAGGAGAGGATTCTAAACAATTCTATCGAGCCGAACAACAAAAAGAGAAAGATAGAATACCTTTCTTAGCTAGCCTAGCGTGCTAGAAACCTACAGGGAACAAGAGCCAGATCGAAGACATTCCTTTCATTCTTTTATACCCCTCTCTTCTTAGTTGCTCCTCTTTCTAGGGATCTAATGGTCGTAGACCACCTTCTTGTAACTATGTTGAAGAATTCTTTCCCCCCTTTGAGTTCTCGAGTGAAAGGGTCCAAGCCATAGGAAAATATCAAGTTTCTCTCGCAACATATCTAGTTTATCCTGAAGCAGCATTTCTCGAAGTAGCATTCCCATAAGTAGAGGATGAAACCCTTGCTTGTTTATCCCGACGAGGGTTTATGAATCACTCAAACGAGCCTTTCTAGCTGCATCTGAATCGGCATCCCTATCCATATGTTTATGCGCAGGGGCATCCAAATCCGAATCTGTAGAATCTATTGGGGAATCCCCATCCGCACCCGAATTGGCTAAATCTAGTATAGTGGGTCTTGTTCCGATGCGGGAAAAAATCTTTTTAAAGGGCATCTCGGCGAAAGAGGACTGAGAACCATAAGGCGAGCGCCAAAACGCTAGCACAAACTGCTCCCACAGACACGCATGATAAGGGGGTGTGGGGACAACCAGGCCACCACTTTTACCAGATATGGGTCCGGACGACCCAAGAGCCCGCCACTAGAACCCAACCCTTAAGAGGCTAAGGTCCAAGGGGCTACCGCAGGAAGTCAGCTTCACCTGTAACCTTAAGGAATACAGAAAGTTACCCGGAATTCCTAGCAAGGACTTTGCCTGCTATTCATTCCTAAATCCCTTTCACCCTTAACTAGCTAACTCGATGGGACGTCAACAGCGGGAATGCCAAATGCAAGACCTGGACCTGGTTCACGCAGTCAAGCAGCAAAGACCTCTTTCTCTTCGGGAGCTTTCGTAACGGCTATAAAGAATGGGTCTTTCCCCTCGTGAAAGGCTATTGGGATCGATCCCTTCAACCCTCCTTGGCGTGGAAGGTCGCAAGAGAAAAGAAAACTTTTCTTCTTAGCAGCTTTTTCAACCTACCCGAGGTAAGGAAGTAAAGCAACCAATAGCCTTTTTACCTACTATGCCTTTCACCGGGTGAGCAAAAAGTAGTTACCTTTAGCCCGGTCTTCCTTATTAATTATTGATAAGGCACAGGGGAAGCATCATCCTTATAAGACTGTTGCTAAACAAAAGCAATTCTTTTTCACATTCAACCATGAGAGGGCAACTTGAGCAATCAAAGCTACGCCCTCTTCCACTGCTGACTATGAACAGTTGACAGCTAATGATTTCTACTTTACTAAGCCAGTTCGGTAAGTTAAGGTCCATGCTTGAAACGAAAAAAAGAGGAAGGGGAAGGGGTCGCCCAAAGCTGTGGAGATAAGGTGGAAGATAAAAAAGCTATATTTATAATAATAAAGAGAATCTATTCAAATTCATATTAGAAAATGGGATTATCAACTATACTTGACTGGAAAAACCAGCCAATCTACTCTCCTTTTTTTGGTCTCCCCCCTGTAACTTGATAAATCATAAGAGAAGAAGAAATCGTTGCGTAGAAAGTCTTGCTTACTATCTCCTCCATCTAAGTTATGTAAGAGGAAAAGAGCGAAAAGCTTACTTTTAGGTAGTGGCCTAAGCGCTAAGAAGCTCCAATCATGCTACTCAGACTATATGCTTAACACATGCAAGTCGAACCTTGGTTTTTGGAGTTCGAAAGAGAAGGGGAAGAAGCGGGGTAGAGGAATTGGTCAACTCATCAGGCTCATGACCTGAGATTGCAGTTTCAAATCCTGTCACCACCTAATCAGTGGAACATTGTTCACCGGGATAGAAGGCCGGTCCCAACCCATCTACAAAATGGGGCTACTGTTCAGTCTTGGTTGATTCCACCTCTTTGCAGGGTGATGACACCAGTAGCTGTTACGCACAGATGACCATTTCTTAGACTATTGAATTACAACTTAGAACTCCTCTCCTTACAGTCAAGTGGCTTTCACTCCTTCTACTCTAAACTACTGTGTGCCTATTGTCCGCTTTTCACAGTCAAAGTCAAAGGTTTGTTGGTGGCAAGATCGACATGCCTTCTAGTTGTAGTTGACTTCAAGCGCACCTGAACTACCCATAGTCGTCTATTTACGGGCTTGCACTCAATAGTCAATCAATTCATTTTTCCGCTTTCTATTGCACGCTTCAACTATTTGTTAATATAGCGTGTGAAGTCTAACTAATGGAAAGTGCATATGAATTAGTTCCAAGAAAGCGGCCGTTCATGTCAGGAATAGAGGCCGTTAAGGATGTACTTGCTTTTCCTTTTTTTTTGTCGAGATTGGGTTGGTGTTCAGTATACCGCTTGTGACGCCTATGCTTTGCAAGCCTACATAGGGTACAAGATCGATAAGAATGGATTAAATGGATGCCCGGGCATTGAGAAGGAAGGATGCTTTCAGAGGCGAAAGGCCATAGGGAGATACCGTCTGTGATCCATTGATCTCCGATCAGGAAACCGTATCCAAGCTCCGTGGCTAGTCTGCGCTCTTTGGACTTTTCAAACTTAGCGAACTGAAACATCTTAGTAGCTAAAATAAGGGAAATCAACCGAGACCCCGTTAGTAGCAGTGAGCGAGAGCGGGCGCAGTGAACTGTAATTGTGAAAAGATTGGAAGATCTGGCAAAAGAAGGTGATAGCCCTGTTGATTCGTTCCCATGGTTCGATCCTTCCCAATAAAACACGGCGTATTCTGATCAATTTTACGCGAGAAAGGGGGACCACCCTCTAAGCCTAAGTATTCCTCAATGACCGATAGCGTACAAGTACCGTGAGGGAAAGGTGAAAAGAACCCTATTTAGGGAGTGCAATAGAGAACCTGAGATCCGATGCGAACAATCAATCGAAGGAGCGGAGCTTAGAGCCTTTACTTTATGTAAAGCGCACTCACTC